GGGGGGGGGGGAGTTGGTGTCCTTAACAGTTCTTACTGGAATATACTTTTTCACGGCAGTTAAGAACGTTTCCTTCCATTGTTCCCAGTAATTATCAATATCATCGGTGGGAGTAATATTAATGGGATTTCTCGTGAGGAAATTGCGCCACTCATCAAATTTACCGTTCCTGTAGTCAAAAACTCGGCGTTTAACTGGCTTGGCTCTTTTAAACTTCAGTTGAACATCAATTTCCACGACGTAATGATCTGTTGGGAAACATTCAGGAAGGAATGCAGAAACGTCACCGATGATTTCTGGATAATTACATAGCAAAAGGTCGTGTTTATTACCAGCGATGTGGGTGGGACCAGATATAAACTGTTGAAGGAAGTTGTCGTCCACCATTTCGCAAAATGCTTCATTCTCATTGGACCCTCCGGTATTCACAGAAACATTTTCACAACTCGACCATTTAACAGATGGTAGGTTAAAGTCTCCGATCATCACAATACGACTCGATTCTTGGTTTCTTTGGAGTGAGTTGTTCAGTGACTGAAGGACATCAGGCGTAGAGTCAGGAGGGCGATAGAAAGTGTAGAGGATGACAGGTTTACTGTTCGATTTAAAAAGTTCAGTAACAATAAGCTCCGTGTTGTCAGTTTCCAGATCGTGTCGACGTGTGACTTGTATTCTTGACTTAATAGCAACGAGAACACCCCCACCACCAATTCTGCCAGTTCTATCACGCCGGAAGACAGTTCCATAATTAGGTATAATTTCGCTGCTTAAAACTGAGTTGTTTAACCACGTCTCGCAAACACATACGACGTCATAATTTCCACTGTATACTAAATCTTGAAATAACGAAATTTTGCATACTTTCCGGGAGGTATTCCCCGGTGGATGAACAAATGCTTTCAGGCGTCTTGCATTTAAATACAGTATCTTGAAACCGTCCCTTCATTGTGAGTCAGATGTTGGGCCTAGGTTGGATACATAAAAGAAGATGCAAATTCTTGTGTTTTACCTGAAGTTCCAAGCCGTTGTGGTGCTTACAAGGATAGTTAGATTTCCGTAAGATGTTGTCTCGCGTTGATATCCAAAGAAAACAAAGTCTATCAGGTATTCTTGCAAGTTCAGAAGCAATGGAAATGTTCGTAGACGTTGATCTATCTTCGAAGCGCACAAGTTAGGGTTTTGATCTTTTAGCCAACCAAAAGATTATGAATAACATGAACATCCACATAATAACTCCAATGAACCGCCGCCACTCGAGTTTACGTTTGAAAACAACCATTTCACCGTAATTTAAACGTGATAAAAACGATTTACACGAGAAAATTAAATAATCAATTTAAGCAAAGCTATAAATTGCGGTTAATGGAGTGATATGTTCTAGAAGATTCCATTTGTCCAAGGGTGTTTTCCGTCTGCCAACCCATCTGCGTCACAAAATCAATCCGTGCATGGTACGTACAAGGTCCAAGTACCTTGGCAGAACAAGGGAACCGTTTTCTAGTCCTGCTAATATTACAAAATATCAGATAAAAATCGAACTTTGGCTACTAAGCATGTGAAAAACTAATGCTAACTTGAGATTAACCAATCAGAAATTATCCTGAAGGTTTTTCCTTCACGTGCATATATACAATGCCCCCCTTTTGATCAAGGACTTTTGATCGCAGTTTCGACGTGCCTTGTTCATTCGCAAGACTTTAGCCAGTGCGTTAACAGCTCTGGCAACAAAATTTAGTTTATAATTCAAGGGATAAAAACCTTGGCAAAGAAGAGAAAATTTGGGAAAAATTAAATATTGTTGACTTACAATGCCTAACGAAAAAGGCAAGCGTCGTTCAGGACCAACTCGGGGCTCAACTCGTGGTCGTCCGCAGCGTGGCATCGAGCAAACGCCGGCTGCAGATGTTGGTGAAAGTTCGACGACGCCGTCGAGTACTGCTGGGGTGAATTACGCCGACTTATCAACGGAGGTTTTCCATTTCCTCCTGGCGCAACGAAATCTCGCACTTTCTGGTTCGCATGATACTCTTCTTCGTCGCCTCGCCGATCACGTGGAGCAGAAGTCCCAGCTGCATCGAGTTCCGATCCGAGACCCAGATCAACACCGGAATATTAACTTTATTAACTTTATTAACTTTATTAAAAACGGTACTATTTCACCAAGATATTTACAAATATTAAGACGGGTGATCTTCCAATAGGCCGTATATAGCTATACTAATTACACATATACTACAGTATCTAATAATAATAACTAAATTACACACAAATTACACA